AAAGTATAAATGTATAATACATGTATTATAGGCACACCGCGGTTTTGCTCATTGCTCATATAACAATAGTATTGATACATTTCATAGTGATTGGCACATACACGTGCACGCGTAGTTATAAGTAACATTTAATATTTAAAAAAATACATTTATATAATATTTTTTAACATTATGGAGCATATAGAATAAGTCTTATCATAGATTATTTGATGTGTGTCTTGAACGAAATACTAATTTCAACATCAATCCTATTTAAGTCTTAAAGTCTGTGCATATTACTTTGTAAAGTTTTAAAGTAGGTAAAAAAATGAATTTAAGTTGAAATTACATTGTTGATAAAACTTGTAAGAGCTATAATGCTATATATTATGTTATTAATCTTAAAAAACAATAATAACTACCTACCACTTAGAACAATGACGACCCTGACGGCCCATGCATAACTTAAAAAGGTGGGCAAGTGGGTGTCGCTCCGATGTACAGTAGGTTATAAGTGGGTCACTGTAATGGATTGTGTTAAATTTGAATTCAATGAAAGAATAGCATTGTATAAGAAAAACGATTCTGAGCGAAGACCAGTCAGCTTATGATATTACTAAGTATATTTGATGATATTATTGTGAATAAAGTAATTTATACTTAACCTATATTTAAGTGGAAATTTCTTTTAAATTTTTAATAATTATAGCTCTAAAAGTTGAAGATTTTATACATTTTTAACTATACTAAATAATTTGTACATTTTAAATTTAATAAATTTTGTCAAAATGTTAACTTTTTTGATATTAGTGTTTTTAATATTTTTTATCTGCTATTGTAATAATAATTTAGAAGGCTTGTATTAATTTTTCACGCTTTTTGACCTAGCAAAAAAAAAATTGTATTGATATTATTAGAAAAAAAAGCTAAAAACATTGACATTTTAAATTATCCGTAAATAGCTCAAAATGGGTTAAAATATTTTCAAAATGTTATGCTGTATGGAAAATGAAAATATAGGTAAACATTCAGTTATATGTTCGTGTATCTACAATTATTGAATGCACCAACTAGATTCACTTTCCCATCGAACAAGATACTGAAGTTGAAAATCGGAGCATTATTTCAACTACTTATCGTGTATACAGGCACAAAAAAATAAAATAAAAAACACACATCATTGTAAAATCAATACATTCATCTCTAAGCTCAGTATGTAAAATAAATTAATTATAATATTTACTATTTAATACCTATTTAATACGCGAGTATGATACATATACAGTTAACTGACAAATACCACAAGGTGATTTACCAAACATGCTAATATCTTCATTTTTTCTTTAATAATTCCTCATTTATATTCTGATTTTTAAATATACGCAAGGACATTGTTTTAAATTATTTAGATTTTAATACCATTTAAGGAGTGTGTTTGGCCATACAAACCTCTTTTTTAAAAGAGAACCAACCTTTTTTATTTTTGAGCAGATTATTTTTAAAACATTTTGGTATTCTTATCTATAAATAAAAATTTGAACTAGTAGTTTTAGAGTTATTAAAACGTATAACAAACTATCCTTAAAATAGTTCTACAAAATGTATGAAATATGAATAGATTAATATTTAAACAATGATGTATTAATTACCAAAATGTTCAAACTATCATAGCTCCCATATCTTCTAAATTTATTCATGGACCTATTATCGATAATACACTGCAGAGTTAAAAACGCAATGATTATAGTTACTTGTTTGAATTTCAATTTATATTCTTACATCAACATTTAAAAAAAAATTTACTTAACATTTTAGTTTTTACAGTAAATAACATTTGTTTTTATTTGAAGAAAAAAGTTAAGGTATATTGCCACTCCTAAAATAGTATTAAAATCTAAATAATTGAAAATATGGTCATTAATAAGATGTATCTGTACCTATAGGTACTTAAAAATTCCCAAAAAGAGAATTTAAATGAATTTATTATTAAAATAAAAGTTGGGGTAAGCATGCATTTTGAATCATTGTGTATAATATGGACCATGCTAATTGTTCTTTATAAGGTAGATGGACAGGTAGATTGTATAATTATTGTTACTCTAATGTGGATCCAAGATCCAACTAACCGTAATGTTTAGTGAGAAATCCCCTAATTCCCTATGTTTGTGAATCGAACCAATGGGATTACCTATTTCAACCATAGAAGCATAGCGTTCCGATTGGTTGACTTTTTAAATATTTATCAAGTAACAATGTCACATTATTACTTTCGTTTTTATTACAATTTTCAAGTATAAATATATATATATTATGAAAGAACATTTTAGTATTTTACTAAAATCCACCGGTGTATAATATATTGGTTGGTATTGTTTAATCATGTTTGCTCATTTGTATTATTATCTTTTGTCAATATACATATATATATATAATAAATACAAGAAGATCTGATAAGTAGTTCCAGAGTTTAGTCTGTATAGTTATAGTCTGTGACCTGTGTATTTATATAGTTTGATATATAAATTAATGTTTGTGGATAGATTAGACCTCTGGGAAGAAGATAGGTTAATTTACAAAGGGTTAAATTTGTTTTTTTTAACCATGGGATTTTAGTACGGTTAGGTTAGGATAGGATTTTGTATAAATTGATTATATTAATCGACCGTAGGTGGAATTAAGTAAAAACAACTAACTTGGTATAACTTTGATACTTTTGAGTTAAATCATACACTAACGTACAAACAGCACGGGGTCCGCGATCTACCGCAGGCAGATTGCCTACTTGATAATGTACTGCTCCGAATCGGAATTTTTACTCGGGGCAACGGAAAAGTTTAAAGAATTTATCTAATTTTGAACACCATACACCGAATATTAAATAACGAATTGAATAAAGTTTGAGTCATATAGAGTTGATACATTTAACGGACAACAAAGTGCACGGGATCAGCTAGTATATTATAAAATTGAAATAATATAATAAATTGATTTGATCATTTAATTTAGGGGCTCGTAAGTTCATGCATTTGCATATAAATCTTGCTAAGTTGTATTTACTATTTAATGCTATAGATGACATAGAAATCCATTTCAAGGTACGACGGTTAAAATATATGTGAAGTCTTATTTTGCATGTTTTTGCATATTTAGAGGTTTTTTGCCTATTTGGCATATTTATGCATATTTCTATTTTATCAGGCATATTATACATGATTTTGATCCTATTCATATTATTATATCAATATGCATTTTTTTATGGAAATACTGTGAAAGAATCAACATTTGACGAAAAAAAACGCGATCGTTTATATTTTTTCATCATAATATTATATAAAATGTTTGGGAATTCGCTCGCAACATAAAATTATTAAAATTTAATAGCTATATATAGTCTGTTCAGAATGAGATAGGTACGGGCGGCCAAATAGTGCGCATGGGCGCGGCTTTGTTACGTGGCAGCGTCCGACGCGTCGCCGTAGTGGGGACAGCGTCTGACCGCCGCGCCGCCCGACGAAAACCGGTCGCCGCCGTGTACCGATCTCATTCAATCAAACTATAGTAGTAATTACTTCATTCATGTTTATCAGTGTTTTGGGTACACATCACATTAGATAGAATTATTCTAATCGATTCTGTAAGCATTTTTAAGTGCATAATTTTAGATATTTAGTGCATATAAATACATATTTTGCCAATTTTGAGTGCATAAATGCATGCTTATTTAGGCATTTTTTTGGACATGAACTTACGAGCCCTGGGCCACATATAAATTATAATAATATTATATATATATTATATATATACTTAACTAATTAACTTATAATAATAATGAAAAACGTTGAATAACATGTTCTTAAGCTTTAAAAACCTCCAACATTAAAATAATACTGTTCTCTCATTTTATATTTCTCGGAACAATAACCAATAGTGGCAAGAACCCATGGACACATACTAGTTGCGGACGAATTATTCAGGTTAGGAATTATAATATAACAATTGCGGACACGAGTTTCGTTGTCATAATACTAATTGCGTACAGAGCTTTTTTTAATAAAAACTACGTTAGTTGTGGACACAAATATTTCCCTTCACCACTTTTTCAGGACTTATGACAATAGCTAAAAAAAAATTGGTAGGTGGGGTTAAAAATTGTGTCTTGCAAAAGAGCAATCGTTATTTTTAAAATTTTGTTGAATTATAGATTGTTTTAATTTTGTGGAAAAAATTGTTTATAAAATATTTATAGATTATCGTCATTATTAATTATTGTCATAGTTTTTAAAACAGTCTGTATATATGATATTCTATTGATTTCACCACGTGAATATTGTAACATTATCCGCAATTAGTATCTTATATTTGTGTCCGCAATTCGTATGTTACCTTTTTAGATTTCGTCCGCAACTCACATGGTTTTTGTCACTTTGTCCGCAATTCGGAAACACCGGAACCCATCTAATCTAACCTTCCACAAAACCCAGAAACACAAAGGCTATCCCTGAACGAACATCTATATTTTACAAACGATTCTATTAAAGACTAAAAACTAAATTCATGTCGAAATATTGCACTCAGATCCATTTTTTATATTATTGTAATTGTTATTATTATTATTTATTATACACATTTTATACATAATATATCGATTCTCTGCAGAGTACTTAATACCTATTACATTTTTATGCAATCATATAGTACAATATTTTGTTATAATGAGAAGAAAATACTTATAAAATATAATTAGTCAAATATTCATTATTCATGCACTTTAAAATATTCACAAAATATTATCATTTCCCAAATGCTGTGTGGCCACTGCAATTGTCACCACTCATATGTTATTTTAATTTTACTTATTGGTATTATATATTTTATTATACCATAGATTGCAAATAATAAAAATATAAATATATAAAGCACTAAATGAAAAAAAAAAGGCAAAACATATCGAAACTATGTTTAAAGATGTATAAATTATGTACTTATTCCCATATTGAATTAATATTTTTATCTTGTTTCAGACTTACCGAAGAGAAATTTCAGCTAATAAATGTAAGTATTTTTTTAGGTTTTCAATCAGTGCCTTCTTATAATATTGTCAAGTTCTTGTAAATATCTAAATCGTGTATATTTAGGGAGCACCTTAATTTCCGTTAGCTTTTTTGAAAATATTCCTAATGGAAGAATTAATCTTGGAAATTAATGTTTTTTGAGATCGTTCAATGATAATAAATAAATAATAATATAGGTACCTAGTTTCCCGATGAATAGAAAAAAAAATTTAAGTTTATTATTTTTATCATATTATGATGGTTATCCACTTAATATTTTCTTATAATATAACTACAATTATTTATTTAGTTATAGTATAAGTATGAAATTTTTTTTATAAAGTAGCTTAGTTTATTAATTTAATTGTTTCTGTGATATTATATGTTAGTCTTTGTTTTATCTGCGCCCATAGTTAATTCATAATCAATTTAATTTGTTAACATTCACGCTTAATTATTGATAGGTACCTAGACCATCTGTTATTCTTTATACCTACCTGTAGTGTAAAAGTAGATTAACTTTGAAAACTACACAGCGTTTCTTTTATGTTAATATTAATACTTAATATATCTTATAGTTTATATACTATTAGAGTAAAAATCTATTTATCACTTAGTAAATTAATTAAAAAAAATATTTGTTAACAATATTAACGTTTGAAGTAGGAGAGAGGCACATTATATGCCCAATGTCCATGACTCCATATAGTGATGCTATCTGTATATGATGGCCATTATCAAAATCCTTTCTCCAGGTTGTGTGTCCACTGTCCAGTAATGAAAGCCCTTTTGACCCATTACATCACAATCAGAGGTGTTTAAAGTGAAATAAATGTTACATGTTTTTATTGCAAAATTAGCTCGACTTACAATTTGTCTTTAACTATCTAACATTGTAATTGATAACTTATATACAATTACAAACTTAAGTTTTAAGTATAGTTAATTGGAAAATAAAAATATTTGCTATGTCTAAGAATTAGGTAATGATTTAGTAATATTAAAATAGACTAACCATTTAAAAAGTGAATTTAACCTAATTTAATTACTTCCTAAAATACGTTATTTGATTAAAATAAAACAGCATATTATACAATATTTATAATTATTATGGAGTATAGGTAGGTACATTTTTAATGAATTGTCAGTGGACTGTAGCCTTTCACTCAACCCGTCCTATCTTACGTCTTAGGTATTGTTAAACCGTTTTTACTCATTGTATTCATTGTAATCTGATTGTAAATATTCGTTTTCTAAAAAATTTAAATTAAAAAATAAGTACATTATATTAGTATATTAAATCATGCACCAAATAATATTTAAGGAAAAATTAAATTGAATAGAATTAAAAACTAAACTTGTGCCTACTTAATGTATTAATCATAATTTTAAAATAAACACGATACTATATTTAAGTGAGATATTCAGATATGAGATATACAGGGTGTCCCGTGAGGATTTACTCATTAGCCGTAGAGGGGGACTCGCCGCCCGGACAAAAACCAGTTTATTGACGTTTTACTAATAAACTAAAAAAATTATTAAAAATCATGAGATTAATGAAAATAAAATGTTAAAAGCTCAAAATGTTCACAAAAATATACTCTATAGAATGGCTATCTTCAATTTTTTCAAAAATTAAAAAATTAAAAAATAATTTTTTTAACTTTTTTACTAAAAAATTTAATTTAATTAAATCATAAAATATTTGTAGTGCTTACCTCTGCGAGTCTTAATAAAAAAACATAATTACGTTATCTCCATTATTTCAGGAGATATCGCAATGAGTAAATCCTCACGGGACACCCTGTATATTTACCTACGTATCTCAACGTACGTAAAATGTATGTGTATAATGTATATATATATTGAGAGAGAGAATCAAGGCCGTAACCAGGAAAAACTTCTTTTTTTTGGGAGGAAGGGGAGAGTTAAAGTAATCAACATTTTTATTTACTATACAACTATACATAGGTAGATACTGAATTGTGTAGTAACTCACAACTAAAAAAATTGTTATAATGTAATAGTAGCATTGTTTTTGTACACTAAAAACACGCGTACGTATATGCGAATGTACACGCGGGACGTATTAACTATAATATTTAATATTTTAGATTCTGAGCGGAGCAATGAATGTATTGATTTTACAATTATGTGTTTTATTTTTTTGTATCTATGTGTACACGATTTATCAGTGGCACAAGTAGAGGTCCTATCCCCCCTCCTAAAATATCCCTTATTGATTAGATATAGGTAAGCCCCCTATGGGTTTCTTTTAACTAATAGTTTTGTTAGTTGGGTCTGTCGTCTCCTAGAATGTTAACCCTAGTTGCGCCTATGTTTGTACTAGACAAAATACTTCAAATTTCAGCTTCGATATCTATAAAATTTAAAAAATCCTAGTAGTTAGTTTTCAAAATATAGTCGGGAAAATTAAAAAAAAACCAGAATGTTTACTTGAGTTTTCAATTTTCTAATTTAGTTGTAATTAAAAACACGAAGAAACTCTACATACTTTAAATGTTTTTAATCAAATTTTCTACACATGGTTTAATTTAAAAAAATATTTAGACTTTTTTAAGCTATTTATAGAAATTTGATCATTTCTATTTTTTCTTTCTCAAGATATTGATAAAAAAAGCGAGTAAGTGGGTAACTGCTGTACCTACATTAGGTTTCTAGAGATGTCATTGTAATGGATGTGTTCAATTTGAATAAAATCATATAAAATCATTGTATACGAAAAACGTTTAAAAAATCTTTAAACCTCTATAAATCTTGAAAATTTATACCTATTATGCTAGTGTAACTGTAGTAAATTTGTCATTGATACACTGATAAAAATGTACTGAAACTTGTTTTACACATTGCTTCCGTATACTATTCAACGTATATTTTTAAAAAATATAGGGAAAATCCATATTTAATTAATTTTACATTTCCGCGTGACGTATTAAATTATTACTATACAGTGGAGTTTATATTTAATATAGGAACCTAGTAGGTACACAATATTCACATTATATACAATGTATTATGTACCTATAATATGCAAATCGGTACATCATAACTATGGTAAGTATACGTAGGAAACTATTCAGTGTTCTATAATACACATGAAAGTTACTATTTACATCATCATCAACTCCAAGCATTAATCTATACAGTTTAACTTTTAAAACCTTTCCACTGGAGTGCACATTGCTATTATTAAGATAAATATTATGTTTGTTTTGTTAATATTTATGGTACTTGCATACTTCAATTTAAAAACAAAAGGAAATTATATCGGTCAATTGTATAATTAGGGGTTATGGTGTGGGACGAATTTCCGGAATGCTGAACATTTGGTTGGGTATAATGTCAGTTTACCGTCGTGATTATTTAGTATTTATCAATATTTAGAATTTTAATTCAACAATATTAGCTGTGATATTTCAGAAAATAAAATAGAGAGAAGAAAAGGAGTACTTGGCCTCATAATTATACTTGCCCGAAGAAAAGTGCCGTCCATGACCTAGGTATCGAGCCAGCGTCGGCCACTCCGTCCCCCAAAAAGAGATTTTAATAATATCAACTGTAAATCGACAAACACATAGGTTTATAGCACATTAATTACTATATAGTATATTTTTATTATACATAATATGCAGTATAGTATATGATTTGGTCATCTTACAGAGTGAATACATTGTGATAATATTTGTATTGTATATCAAGCTTGTTTGAATTCCTACTATTAAACATACATACATTTGTTGTTAACCCAAGTTAAAAATCAATTGTATGTGTGAATGTACTTTTTTATACTATTCTAGTGTTCTAAAAAACATCAGATCACCCATAAAAAATGCTCTCAGATATTAAACACTTAAACAAATATAATAAAAAGATGTTTAAATTTCTTCATCATAATACGATAAATTGTACTTAATTACTTGAATAAATTCTAATATAAATAATATATAATATTATATAATATTAGCCCCATTGCACCAATAATATACATCTTTCAATTACTCAAATTGCACTAGTTATTTTGCACTACAAGTATATATATTATATATATGCTATGCGGTACCTACAAATGTTATACTTTTACTTAATTATACTTCACTTTTTACTCACCGTGTAGGTATTTCTGATTATTATTTATTAGTCATGTTATTAGTAGGTAATGCTATTACAACTTATTCAGCCCCTTTTATTTAAATTAAAATAAGTTATGTTATGTACATCTTATTAATTAATAATTATATACCTGTAAAATAAGTTTGATGCAAATATTCACCAACTTTGAGATACTCAGTCCACGAATTCAAAAACTAACTCATATAATTCTGTAACTTAAGTCTAGTATATTAATGTTAATCAGTTTAAATACATCAATACTAAACTGAATAGATACAATGTATTTATTTTAATTTTATCTGTGATATTTGAAATTTCCAGCTGGTCATATACCTATAATGTTCAAGTACAGTAATTAATTAATGTTCCCGTTAAAATAAATTTCTATTCGGGAATTACGTTGGCATATCCATATAAAATATACACACCCAAACTATTGTAATAACTACGAGTTCGCCTGAAGCTATTTTAGACGCTTTCGATAAACACCGACAATCGGTTTCCGGAGAGTTAGTCCGGAAGTAGTAAAACCATTACACAAACACAATCGCGGAACTGGATCACGAATCTGTTGAGACACTAAGACACTGTACTGGTTCTCCGTTCATGGGCTTATTTAAATATTTATTGTAGTATGTCATGATTATACAACGGCCTAATAAGAAACTTTATTACAAGTGGGTAGAATCGATAATGACGTGTACCTAAATACGAAGTATAATGGAGGCGTCATGTTTAACGAAAGTGTTTCATGGTACGACCACTATTAAAAGTGCAGCCAGACTAACTGAATTAATTTTTTTTAATTTGTATGGTTATTTATTTTGGTTTTATATCGTTATTTCACTCATTTTATAAACAAGTCTG